AACAACAACAACAACAACAACAACATATTGTTTTACACAGTAATGCTGCTCAAAATTAAGTGTGTATCTTCAAATCAAGGAATTTTTAAATTGATGTTTAACGTTAGTTCATTAGTTTAAAAAGAAAGTTTGTTATAATTTTTTTTTATTTTATTTTATTGACATTTTAATGAATGTTTATAGAGCCTTTGAATTTCCATTCACTTTTAACTATTTATAACTGTAATCAGAGGAAGTAGGATCAAAATTCAGCTTTTGAGTGGAATATTACATCATCTTTTAGCCTTAACACTTGTAATTATTCTAATATTTTACATTATGAAAAAGCTTTCTGAGTCTATGGTTGATTATATGAAAAAAGGAATATGATTTGTAAACCTTCACTGAAAAGAATTTTTAAAAAAACCCCCAGTAACAAACACAAAAAACCCAAATACCAGCCCCCCCTGGTATCATAATCCATATGGAATTGCACTGTTAACCCAGAGGCTGTCCCTTTCTGGTGGTTTGAATCTTATCAGTGGTTTCACAGGAGAAAGATGGACCATTTCCTTCTATGCTATTTATAGCCAAGGAAACCCAGTGGACCATCAGCTATGAGTCAGTTCCATGGTCAGCTATGAGTCAGTTCCAAGGCTGTGTGAGAGTAGTAAATCCAATTTTTTACATGATCTTAACAATAAAGCAAAAATTCTTCAGCTCTATTGGTTAGGTCTTGAATGATTTTATTGTCAGTTGCCTTCTAAACAAGTTAACAGATATCAAAATCTAGAGAACATTTTGATTTACTATTTACATAACTGTTGAAAATATCTGAATAGTATTTGTCATTTTATGCTGAGAACACTTTAACAGAAGCAGTGCCACCCTGGTAAACGGCAGCCATTGTGATAACCGAAATTACAGCCTGTTGAGTCTGTTTACTGTGCCAACTCTTGTTTTAGGTCAAGGGATGAGGTAAATTCATGTACAGCTAAATGTTCCCCTTAGTATAACAGTGTAAATGTGTTTTTAAAGTATTTTTTCATCTAGATTACCTTCAGCAGTTCTTCTTTATATTTTTTAAATGCTTGAAATCTTAAATCATATGAAGTAAGTGGCAAACAAAGTTTATTTATTAATAAATTTATTAATTTAGAAAAACTAATTGAATGTTTTATTTTTGTGTGTAGGTCTTACTATTTGGGATGCTATAAGAAGAAATTGGAGGAAGACGGATTTGGTCTTTGAGTGGACATGGCTCAGATCTCCAGCAACAGCAGATTTAAGCGGTGTTCAGCTTCACGTCTAGAACAAGCAAGAACAAAAGATGTAGACAAAGAAGAAGCATTACAGATGGAAGCAGAAGCTTTAGAAAAATTGCAAAAGGATAGACAAATGACTAGTAATCAGAGAGATTTTGACTTGTCAAGCAGCACTAGACAAAAAGCACAAGTTCCTAACAAACAGGATTATGATCTCATGGTATTTCCTGAATCAGATTCCCAGAAAAGAGCACTAGATATTGATGTGGAAAAACTCTCCCAAGCTGAACTTGAGAAATTACTGTTGGATGACAATTTTGAAACTAGAAAAACACCTGTATTGCCAGTCACTCCTGTTCTTAGCCCTTCATTTTCAGCCCAGTTCTGTCTTAGACCGACTATTCAGAGAGGACAGTGGGCACCTGGATTACCTGGACCTTCCTCTTACACTTTACCTTCTATTTATCCCTCTACTTTTACTAAGCAAACTGCATTCCAGAATGGCTTCAGTCCAACAGTGCCCACGTTTCCATCTACAGAACCCATATATTTAAGTCTCCCAGCACAATCTACATATTTTTCATATCCTTTAGTACCTACCACACCTTTTCATCCACAAGGAAACCTGCCTATCTATCGGCCAGTGGTCAGTCCTGACATGGCAAAACTATTTGATAAAATAGCTAGCACGTCAGAATTTTTAAAAAATGGAAAAGCAAGAACTGATTTGGAAATAACTAATTCAAAAGCTACAGTCAGCAATCTACAGCTTTCTCCAAAGTCTGATGATATTAGTAAATTCGACTGGTTAGACTTGGATCCTCTGAGTAAACCGAAGGTAGACAATGTAGAGGTATTAGACCATGAAGCAGAAAAAAATATTCCGGGTTTACTAGCAGAGGATCCTTGGGAAGCTGTTCTTCTGGAAGAGAGATCACCAGCAAGTTGTCATCTTGAAAGAAAGGTGAATGGAAAATCCCTTTCTGGGACATCTGTTATAAGAAGCCAGTCTTTAAATATTCGGACAACTCAGCTTACAAAAGTCCAGGGCCAAATGTCTCAGGTATAGTAGTATTTTATTACTAACTACTTAAATTAAACAATGTAATACATAGTTTGTGTATGTGTGTGTATGTTTATTAGGTAAAACAAGTTTTACCCTAATAAAATCTTTGCTCTTTTGTATGCTAATATTCTTGGATTACATGGTAAAGGGTTAAATGTTTTTAGACTGTTAAAAATAGCTAGTTTTAGGGAACAATGAATTATTTAAAAAAAAAACCCAAAAAAACAAAGTGAGCCTGAGGTGTTGGTGATGGTTGTTGATGGCTGTTGAGTTAAGCACGACTCATAGCGACCCTATGAACAAAAGGCCTGAAGCCTTTCTATAACTGTCGTCACTTCTCAAAGTTCATGGAGTTTCCAGAGGCATGTTATTTAGAAAGTGGATGCCACTCGTGTTTCCAAACCTGTCTTAAACTGGGAGCTCCACCAAATGCTGTCCACCCTGGGTAACCGTGTGGCATTTGACACCCCAGTGGCACAAGGTTCAGCATCATAGCAACCCCAGGTTACCTCAATACAGTATATTGACAGAAGAGTGCTGTATCATTTAGAAGAAAGTTACTCCAAAATATAACAACCAACTTTAACTATAAAGGCCCTCCCCAAGGTCTTTTTGACTTTAAACAAGAGGCTTAAATAAAAACCCAACCAATATAGTATGTTGGTGGTGGTGGTATGTGCTGTTGAGTCACCTGTGATGAATAGTGACCCTATGTACAGCAGCTCTGAGCCCTTCCCTGTCCTGAGCCAGTCTCAGTAATTTTGATACACCAACCCCCATTGCCCCAAATACTGTTTCAGTCCATCTCATCTGGGGTCTTCCTCTTCTGTGGTGTTTCTCCATCCTTCCAAGCTTAATTCCTTCCAAGGATCAGTCTCTCCTAGCCATGTGCCCAAAGTATGGGAGGTGAAGCTTCAAAATCCTAGCCTCCAAAGAAAGACTTGGTTTCACCCTCTCCAAGACAGACCTGTTTGTTTCCTTGGCATTTCGAGGTATGGTCAAGACTCTTCTCCAGCACCACAACTCGAAGGCATCTCCTCCTCCTCCTCCTCTTCTTCTTCTTCTTCCTCCTCCTCCTCCCCCTCCCCCTCCTCTCCCCTCCCCTTCTTCTCCTCCTTCTTCCTCCTCCTCCTCCCCCTCCTTCTTCCTCCTCTTCCCCTTCTTTCTTCTTCTTCTTCTCTTTTACATTTACAACTATATATTTATGCATAAATGTATACAACAAAGTCAGTAGAGGCTCTAGAACTGGATGCTCTAGGAACATCCTGTTGGTGAAAGACATTTAATATGCATAGGAGTAGTGTGCACTTTCGGGGCATAGAAGCTTCACACAGAGGAACTGGCCTCAGACTTCACTTTATGTGTTTGTATCCTTTTTGCTACAATTTATGTGTAGACATTTGAAAAGCAAATGAGAACCTTTGAGTCTGTAATTATAAAAACAAACAAACAACAAAACACCTAAGAGCAGAACTACTAGTTCATATGGTTATTCTGCCTTTTTAAGGACTGCTAAACTTTTCCATAGTAGTCACATTGTATTTTACCTTCCCAGTGGCAATGTATGAGACTTCTGATTTCTCCACATTCTTGCCAGCATTTAATTTCTCTTTTTGTTTGTTAATTAGCTTTTAAATTACAGTGATTTTAGTGGGTCTGACTGAGTGGTAGATTATTCTGTTTTTATTTCTGTGGACACATCTGCTCCTCAGGACCTCTTTGAAGTGTTAAAGAGCAAGGATATCACTTTAGACATAAGGGCATGGACTGTGAATAAAGATGAGCTAAGAAGAATTGATGTCTCTGAATTGTGATATTAGTGAAAAATATTGAAATAGACTGCTAAAAAGAATACTTTAAAAAATCTGTCTTGCAAAATGTGCAGCTAGAGTACTCCTCAGAAGCAAGGCTGATTATACTTCATCTTACATGCTTTGGGCATATTATCAGGAAAAATATATCATGCTTGGAAAAGCTAATGGTCAGTGAAGGAAAAGACCCTCAATGAGATGGGTTGACAAAGTGATTACAACAGTCAGCTTCATCACAGCAAAGATTGTGAGAATTGCATATTTCATTGTTTTACACAGGAACCCTGTGAATTGGGGCCCACTCAACAGTGTCTAACAGCAGTGACTGATGATATGTTAAGCATCTTTCCATTTACTGACTGTCCATTTGTATATATTCTTTGGAGAAATATTTGTTCATATAAGTCTTTTTAATTTTAAAATTATTATTCATAACAGCTTTATTTAAAATAGCTGAAATGTTGGTAGTATCTATCAGCAGATGAATGTATAAACAAAATGTCTATGTGATAGAATGTTAGAAAAAAAAAAGCCATAAAACTTAATGAAGTACTGATAAGTACTACAGTATTGGAGAACCTGAAAAAAAACATTATGCTAAGCAAAAGAAACTAGCCAGGCTCAAAAGATCAAGTAAAACCACATCTATATGAAATGCCTAGTATAGGCAAATCCAAGTGAGTTTAGAAGATGAAGTGATTGGGAATAACTGTTTAATGGGTGCTGGTTTCTTTATAGTATAATAAAAGTATTTTGGCATTTGATTAATTACCTTGAGATCAACACAATAATATTTATAGATAGTTAATGTTGTATGGAATCAAGTCCATTCCAACTCATACAGACCCCACTTGACAGAGTAGAATTGCTTCTGTATAGTTTTCTAGTCAGTAATCTTTATGGGGTGAATATTATCCTATTACTTACAACATTATATTTCAGGATAGAACTTGAAATTGACTTTTTTACTATGATTGGATAATATCTATAAACATTTAAGGAAGACCAATTAACATAACTATTATTCAATTATACACTCTTATATCTGGAGCCAAAGAGGAAGAAATTGAGAATTTTAACCAAATCTTGCATTTGACTGAACATGCAATCAGGATGCATTAATGATGGTTGATGACTGGAATGCAAAAGTGGGAAACAATGAAGAAGGAATAGTGGTTGGAAAATAGGGGCAAGGTGATAGAAAAAAGGCTAAAAATAGAATAACTGAATTTTGTATTTTCAATAATTTATTCATTACAAATACCTTTTTTTAAAAGAAACAAACAACAACTTTACAAATGGATCTCACCTGATGGGCTGCATAGGAATCAGATTGACTACATTTGTAGGAGAAATTGTTAGAGAAACTCAATATCAGCAGTCAAAGCTAGGCTGGGGCGAACTGTGGGTCAGACCATAAGTTACTTACATGCAACTTCAAATTGAGGCCTACAAAAAATTAAAATTAAGTCAACAGGTACCAAGAAATTATCTTGAATCAGTTCCATCTGAATAGCAAGATCATGTTAGGAATAGGTTTGAAGCATTGAACACCAGTCATCGAAGAGTAGTTGAGTTGTGGGATGATATCAAGGATATCCATGAAGAAAGCAAAAGGTCATTAAAAAAACCCAAAATGGATGTCAGAAGGGCCTCTAAAAATTGCACTGGAGCATTGAGAAGCCAAAACGAAAAGAAAACATGTCAGAGTAAAAGAACTTAACAGAAGATTTCAAAGAGCAGGTCGAGAGGACAAAGCAAAGTATTATAAGAGAATGTGCAGATAGAGTTGGAGAATAAAAAGGGAAGAACTCACTCTTCATTTTTCAAGCTGAGAGAACTGAAAAACAAATTTAAGCTTTGAGTCGCAATATTAAAAGATACTGTGGGCGATATATTGAACCACCCAGGAGCAGCAAAAGAAGATAAAGGGGATACATAGAATCACTGTACCGGAGTGAACTGATTAACAGTGAAAACTTTCAGGAAACTCTTCTAAAGTGCTGAAGTGCAGCGATCTGGAGTGCAATCTGGAGACTAAGGTGCACCTGATATAGGCCATGGTCTTTGCAATCACTTGCTATGCATCAGAGATGGACAATGACTAGGGATGATAGAATTGATGCCTTTGAGCTGTGGTGTTGGAGAAGAGTATTGAATATACCATGGACTGCTAAGTAAACAAACAGGTTTGCCCTGTAGAGGGTGAAGCCAGGCTGCTCCTTGGAGGCAAGGATTCTGAAGCTTCATCTGACATACTTTGGACATGTTGCAAGGAGGGACCAGTCCTTGGAGAGGGTCGTCATGCTTGGGAGGGTGGTGGGACAGCACAGGAGAGGAAGACCCTTGATGAGATGGATTGATTCAGTAACTGGGGTAATGGGGGTAGGTGTGTCGGAGATAGTGAGATAGGGCAAACATAGAAAACAAAGCTGCAGGAATTGATTGGGGTACCAATTGATTTGTTTCAGTTAACATATACAGCCTTGGATGAACTCACCAGTGTATTCCAGGAAATTTGGAGGACAGCTGTCTGGCCAACCATTTGAAAGAGGTCCATATTTGTTCCCATTTCCGAGAAAGATGATCCAAATAAATGTGGAAATTATCAAACTATCATTACTTTCATATGCAAGTAAAAGACTGTTGAACCTTATTAAAAAATGGCTAGAACAGTACATAGATAGGGAGCTGCCAGAAGTTCAAGCAGGATTTAGAAGAGGCTGTAACACTAGGGATATCCTTGCTGATATCAGATGGATCCTGGTTAAAAGTAAATAAGACCAGAAGAATGTCTATTTGTACTTTATTGACTTCACAAAGGCATTTGACTATGGGGATCATAACAAGTTGTGGATGACATTGAAAAGAATGAGTGTCTCAGGACACTTAATTGTGCTCATGCAGAATCTATACCTGGACCAGGAGGCTGTTATGTGAACAGAGCAGGGGAATACTGGATGGTTTAAAATTGAGAAAGGGGTGTGTCAGGGTTGTATTCTCTTTCCATACCTATTTAATATTTAATACCATATTTAATCTGTATGCTGAGCAAATTGTTTGAGAAGCTGGATTCTATGAAGAGTGGCATCAGGATTGGAGGGAGACTCATCCATAACCTATGTTATGCAAATGACACAACCTTGCTTGTTAAATGTGAAGAGGACTTGAAGAACTTGTTTCAGA